CTGTCTGACACTTTGCAGCCTCCCCAGCGTGGTTCTCCCCTGGGTGCAGCGGTACCTACCCGGGAGCGGTGGCCGGAGCACAACCCCACCAGCGTGCGCAGGGCTGCCAGCATCAGGTCAGCCTTGGCCGTGTCCAGCAGCTGCGTCAGCAGCCGCACACCATCACTCTGGAAGATCTTCTCTGCTCCAGCCTCCTCTCGTGCCAGCACGATCAGGTTCTGCACAGCCTGGGAAAGGAGACTCCTGTCTAGATCACCAGTCCACCGAACACAGGAACCCCTGGCAGCCACAGGCACCCGCCCTCCACCGTCTCGGGGAGCACATTCTGCAGGGGGGAGCCTGGTCTGCCCAGGCAGCACCACTAATCCACTGTGGACCTGAGAGCACTGAGCCTCCCCTTCTCACCTCCCAGCCACAGCACTACCCCCTGCTCTCTGAGCTCAGACCTTCTGCTTCTTGTCCGCATCCTCTTCTTTAGGATCCAGCAAGATCTGGAACATCTGCTGTACCTTTGAGTCCGTGCAGGACATGGTCTTCATCTGAGAGAGAGCAGAAAGAGCAACTCAGCCCTCCTTGCCTCCCCCAGCTGTCCACAGCCACAGGGGGTCCGGCAGTCCCCCAACTGCCCCCACCACTGACCTTCTCGTGCATGCTGCTGCCCAGCGCACGCAGGGCCTCCTGGAAGGCCTTGTTCCTGGGCTCCAGGCTCACGCACCGCTGCAGGTCACCGACGGCCTGGTCCAGGCGGCCCAGCTGCTGCAGCGCCTGGCTACGGCGGAACAGCGCCTTCACGTCCCGGCCGTCGGCCTCAATGGCTGTGCACAAGAGAGTCTATCGCAGAGCCCCCAGCCTGCCCTGGCCTGCCCTGGTGGGCAGCACAGAGGCCAGCCCCCCTCAGCCCCACTGACGGTACCTTTAGTTGCATCAGCCTCCGCCTTGGCGTAATCCTCCTGCAGAGATTTGGGAGAGGCAAAACCTGAGGGCTGCCCAGGCAGGCCCCGCATAGACCAACACCCCCCATTTTGGGGAGCAGGGACAGGCTGGGAACACCGTCACTGCACACTGTGAGCCAGCCCAGCGCGACACCCTGTCCTTCCTAGAACGCAACCCTCAAGGGATCCCTGTGGAGCCCTAGGGCCCCCGATGCTTTTCAGGTGCTTCTGGTCTACTCAGGCCCCTGAAACTCCTTGTGTTCCCCCCTTGCCTCAGAGACAGTTCCCCAGGGGGAGATCAGAGATGCTGTGACTGCCTGGGGACAGCCCCAGGGCACATGCACAGCCCAGGCACAGACGGGAGCATCCTGGCCCCCACAGCCCACCTGGGAGGTGAGGCAGCAGGGGACAGTGGGCAGGGGCAGGGGAAAAGGTGAGCAGAGACAACATCTGATAGTGCCCTGTCTGGGACCAAGAGCATTCTACTTGGGGACCGACACTGCCTCCGGCGCAGGGAGCACCTGGCCAAGGCAGACAGCCCCAGCCGGCCGGGCAGGTTCTGCGGGGCCGCCCCGCCCCGCCCCGCGCTCACCAGTTTCAGGTAGCAGGCGGCCCGGTTGCGGTGCAGCACAGCGCGCTCCGGCGCGGCGTCGCTCAGGCTCAGCGCCTCCGTGTAGGCAGCGAGGGCCGCGCCGTGGTCCCCCGCCTGGAACAGCGCGTTGCCCCGCGCCCGCAGTTGCTCCGCCGTCACCTGCCGACGGGAACCGCTTGGGACGCAGCCCCGGGCCCCATATCGGCGGCTGCCCGGAGACGGGCCCGGGATCCCGGGACAGGGAGTCCCCGGGACAGGGACCCGCCCGCCCCAGCACGCCGGTCTCAGCCCCGAGCCCCCCCGGTCCCGCCCGGTCCCGTCCCGGTCCCGCCCGTCCCCGCTCACCGGCTCCTCCATCGCGCTCGTGACGTCACCGCCGATCGCCCGGGGAACCCGGACGCCACCGCCCGTGTCACGTGACGGGGCGGGGCCGAGCCTGCAGCGCCGCCCCGCGGCCCGGCGGTCCCGGCACCAAGCGCCTGCGGCCTCGTGGCTGTCCCCGCGCGTCCCCCCGGACACCCCCCGTGCTGCACCCCGGGGGCGAGTGCCACCACCCCTACACCCCTGCCCCACCCGCGGGACCCCCTCAACAGCCCCGGCTGGGGCGTGGCAGGCTGGGGGCACCGTGGGAAGGCTGGGCACGGGGCAGGTGCCCTCCCCGGGGTCTGCAGGGTGGGCAGTGGGCGCAGGGCAGGAGGCGGCCGAGGTGGCAGCGTCGGGTCCAGTAGAAGTGGCAGAGGTCGATGGCCATGAGCAGGAGGACAAGGAGCCCGTAGAGCCCAACAAAGGGCAAGGCCAGTGGGTTCCTGCGAGGGGGTTGCACTTCAGGAGGGGGCAGCCATGGCCTCCCCCAGCACAGCGGCACTAGGGAGGGCCACCCAGGGCCCGGTGTGGGCTCCAAGGGACAGCACAGGCCCAATGCCAACAGCCACGGGAGGTCCCTGGGGCTGTGCTGGGATCCCCGAGCAGCACACCCACACTAGGGAGGGCCACCCAGGGCCCGGTGTGGGCTCCAAGGGACAGCACAGGCCCAATGCCAACAGCCACGGGAGGTCCCTGGGGCAGCACACCCAGCCACAGTCCTGCTCACCGGAGTAGCTCAGGGCTGGCCAGGCTGGAGAGGTTCACCCCGGTGAGGGCCTCCAGGGCCAGCTGGGAGCAGCAGGACTTGAGGGCGCGCGGGCTGGGCTGGCAGCAGTAGCGGTGGCCGGGAGGGTCAGTCAGCCGTGGGCAGTAGAAGCCGGGGTGGGAGCGGCCGTCACGGCCAACGTAGCCCTCGCAGAGGTGCAGGTTCTGCACTGAGACTGCGGCGGGTAGCAGGGGCTTGGAGAGGGCCAGGAGGGAGTCCCCACTGCGTGAGCCACAGAGCCACACGGTGCCGGCAGGACAGGCTGCCAGCTCCAGCAAGGGGGCCCTTGCAGGGATGCCACAGAGCAGAGCCTTCCCAGTCCCAGCAGGGATGAACTGGAGCTCACTAGCCCCAGGGGACCTGGCTAAAATGACACAGGGACCCTTGGCTCAGCTCTCAGCGTGGGCTCCAGCCCCCCAGCAGTGCCTGCTGCAGCCACGGCCCTGTGTGTGCCGTGACCACCAGCGCTTGCCATGGCCTCAACAAGGGCAAACATGGGTGAGGAGGGTGATGGTGGCAGAGGGGAGGGGAAAACCCTCGGGGACATCAGGTCAGCCCCCATCTCTCCATGCTGAATCTTTCCCTGTTCCCCATGACCCCACAAGGACAGCACTTACACCCCACAGATGTGCTGCAGTGGGACCAACCCCAGCACCACCACACCTCAGCCACCATCCCCAGCATGAACCACCACCTCCCACTGTGGACCACTGCCTCCTAGCACAGATGCCTCCAGCCTCCGTTCTGGGCTGTCAGGGAGCAACCCCCAAGGGACAAAGCTTCGTCAGGGATGGGGAGGATAGGTTCAGGGAACAGAAGGGGCAGGAGTGGGGCTGTACCTGTCCCAAGGATGCTGGGGAACAGAGCCGTGGTGAGGAGCAGCTGGAGCAGGAGCCCACCCAGCCTCATCCTGGCCGACACTGAGCAGAGGCAGCTCTGGCTCCAGTGGAGGCAGAAACCACAGCCACTCCTGCTCCCGCCTCCATCGCAGCCCATCAAGAGCCGCTCAGAGCCATTAGAGCCTCCTGCACTCACTCAGGCTCAGTCCGCAGGGACCAGGGCGGAGGCGGGAGCATCAGTAATGAGCTTCTGGGGCCAGGAGCTCCTTCCCCACCCAGCCACGGATCAGCAGCCACAGGGTCCAGGGCCCTGGTTGGGCACCGGGACCCGTCCCAGGATCCAGGAATTATGGCGAAGGCCGTGGGCCAGGCCAGGGCATGGGGTGAGTGCCTGGCACCAGGTGGGGGCAGGTCGCCTGTGCTGCAGTCCCTCAGCACCCACTCCCTCATCACCCACCCCTGGGCAGGGCCCTGCGCCAGCCCCCTGGCCCCCTGCCAGCCATGACATTAGCCAGGCTCCAGCAGAGGGTCTCCATGCCAGGCATCCTCCAGGTGCTGCAAAGGGCCGAGCTGCTGGGGCTGGTCCATGCTGGCCCCACGAACTCAGCCCCTTCCAGGGCTGTGGGATGCAGGACCACGGCCGAGCCTGTAGCACGCAGAGGTGCCGAAGGCTGTGCAGGAATCATGGAAGCACAGAATCATTTAGGTTGGAAAAGACCTCTAAGTTCATTGAGTCCAATGAAGCCAGAGCTGAGGGAGCTCCCCCGCCTCCCCCTGCAGCCCTCCCCGCTGGCAGTAATTAGCCCCAGGGGCCAGGGAGCTCGAAGCCCCTGCGGTTCCCACAGCAACCAGGAGGATGCTCTGGTGAGGTGGCATCAGCACCTGCACCTCAGCTGCTGCAGCCTCAGCAGAGACTGGACTGCCAGGCTCACACTGAAACGGGGCTAAAGGCTCTGGATTTGGGAGAGGCCATTGCCATGCTTCCCCCCGTCACTGCTGCCAGCACAAGGAGCTGCCTGACTCCTGTCCCCCTGGCTCCTGCTGCCAAGCATGGCTGGGCCTGGCCATGCCACCAGCCTTTCACACCCAGCTCAAGATCTGGGAGCACTGGCAGGGCAGGGACCTCAAAGAGCAGAGGACAGCACAGCTCTGGCAGCCCACCCAGCCCACCCAGAGCTGGCCCCGAGCCAGACTCCCCACCTTGGGTGCTGCCCTGTCTCCCCATGGCGCACTGTTCCCACTCACCTGCATGGGAGGCACAAACCACACACAGACTGGGCCTTTGGAAACAGCCTCGTGTTTCCTATGAGCTCCAGGTGAGCTCAGTCTCTAGTCCACAGCACCTCTCCAGGCAACTGCCCAACACCACCGATCAGCCCCATTCTGCCCCACTAGGCCAGGGGAGCCCAGCACAGGCCCCTGCCCCAGCCACTGGGGTGGCCACACTCCTGGGCAGCCTGTGAACATGGCAGGGCAGCAGTGCCCATCCCACCAGCAGCAGCAGAGCCTGGCCTGTTGCTCCTGCCAGCTGTGCTCAGCCCACCCGGCACCACATTCCGCAGCCTCCGCCCAGCCCCGGCCACAGCAGTTCATTCCAAAATCTATCTGAGAATGTGGGACTAATAAATTAGAAGGCAGCAGCAGCCTCTGCAAGTCCGGCGCCTCCTGCCCGCGCCCACCACAGTGCTGCTGGCCCTGCTCTCCTGCAGTGCTGGTGCTGCTCCCACGCTGCCCAGCCACTCTGCTCCTCTCCCACTCCACACACTACCCCAGGCGGATGCGGAATGTGGCAATTTCCATGGGGTCCAGGTAGATGTTGGTGCTGTTGGAAGCCGTGCCCAGTGGATACATCAGCGTCAGTGAGGTGGGCTGCAGGGAGCCCAGCTCCAGCCCCTGGAACAGGCCTCCCAGGACCAGCTGGGGAGAGAGGAGGGAGAAGAGAGCAGGCCTGGGTGCTGCCTCTGGTGCCTGGGGCAGCACTGTGCCCAGGGCAGCCTGATATGTGGCATGCCAGCCATGCCGAGGTCCAGCCTGGCTCTGACTCAGTGTGGGTGTGGGGCAGTCTAGCCCTACCTTGCCCTGGCTTGTAGTGCAGTTGAAGCCCAGGTTCTTGGCCTCCAGGCTGCAGTCAAAGCCTTTGCGGTGCAGAATCAGCGCTGCCTCGGCCGAGGGTAGTGAGTCGTCCTGGGGGAAGCCAGGGCGTGAGGCACAACAGTGCGGACAGCAGGGCAAGAGCCCCCCAGAGTCCTGTCACACCCAGGCTGTAGCTCACTTCTGCCTGCAACATCCGCAAGTTAAGGATGTGGAAGTCGCAGGGGAGGGTGGTGGCAAGGGGCACGAAGGAGCGCAGGGCTGGCACAGCTGGCTTCTCCAGCGCCACCGGCATGACCAGGGCCTCGGCATTCAGGTGCATGGAGGTGATGTGGCTCAGCAGGGAGGGGAAGCTGATGGGGCGTTCGTCCTGCACCTGCCAAGGAGCACATGGGTCAGTATAGGCCTGGGGAGCCGTGGGGCCAGGCAGAGCCTGGGCAGGGCCCACAGAACGAACCACTGCTCCAGCAGTGCCCCGAGACCAGGTACCTGCAGGCACAGGGCACCCAGAGCTGCCCCCACCCAGGCAGGACTCCCTTCCCCAGCACCCAAACAGGACCCCATCTAGCTGATGCTCAGACTATGGACCTGCTACGGGCCTGGCTAGGCTAGTGGCTAGCAGCTAGTGCACGAGACAGGGAGAGACAGCAGGGCCAGGCCGGCCATTACCTCAGGGCTGCCAGTCCTGGTGCCAGGGAAGCCCAAGGCTTTAAACATGGAGAC